CTCAGAATTTTCATTTCTCTTGTACAAGATCTGGCTTTTCCTTGATGATGCCATTTGTAACTTCTCAAATCAGAGGACATCACAGGCTTTATTGTAATTGGTCTGATTTGTATACTACCAAGTGACAATGTGAACTTCTGATGAGCAAATTAATAAGATTAAAGCAGCTATCAAGCATGCCACAGCAGAAAGACTTCCTATGGCCCAGCTGCATGTTGTTATCACTAATGTGAATCCTCACAGCCATAACAGAAAATGAATAGCATTTCATATTTTAAAACTCTAGACACAAGCCATTCACAATTTATATTTTCCCAAATAACTGGCTAATTAAAATTATAAATAAGGTTGTGTTATGTTTGTATATACTCAAGTGTCTTTCTCATGAAAAACCACAACAGCTATACAACTGCTCTCTGCACACTGCAATCTGCCTCACCTGCAAATGCTCATACTCTCATCACCAGAGAAGGCCGCAGTCAGGGGAAGAGTGAATTTATGAGAATGCTTTCCCAGCAAAGGAAGAATTGAGAAAAAGGAGGGCCCCAGAGAGCTGTGGAAACCTGGCTTTCTAAGGTACTACATGAATACAGAAGGTATTTTCCAAAATGGGTTTAGTAGGTGAATATTATTATCATTATGTATTACTGATCACATGAAAAGAAGTCCTCAATGGAAATTGAAAAGAAATATCTTATAATAAACTCTAAAGATCAACCAATTTTAGCATTTTTCTTCCTGCTTTGTTCATGTACCTTCTGAGTGGGGCATTACTCCCACACTCACAGTACATTAATAATTGGTGTACTTTATTGTACCAATTCATAAGTAAAATTGAGGAATTTATTATTTTTCATGATTTTAATGACATGCAATTATTTCTTTATACTACAGAATGAATTGTACTCTCCCCCAAATTTCTATGTTGAAGCTCTAACTCCCAGTATCCTAGTACCTCAGAGTACATTTGAGATAGGCCTTTACAGAAGTAATTAAGTTAAAATGGAGACATTACGGTGAGCCTTGACCCCATCTAGTATCCTATAAAATGAGCTTTGGAAACTAAAGGAGACCCCAGGGGTGTTTATGCTCCATATTCCCAGAGAAAAGGCCACCTGAGGGTGCAGTGGAAAGACCACCATCTGTGGGCCATGAAGAGAGGCCACCAAAGAAAGCTTGGTCTTGGGTTGTGAGTGCACAGAACTGTGACAAAATAAGTTTCTGTAGTTTAAAGTTTAAAGGCTGTGGTGCTAAAGTTTAAAGGCTGTTGTGTTATGGAAGCCTTACAAAGAAATACATTAATTGCTCTCTTTATTGGAGCTGGGTCTTTCACCAGTGTAACTCCTAGACACAGGAAATAAAAAACTGCAGAACACAGGTAATAAACAGCTGACCATCTTAATTTACAAGCTCTTATCTCCAGGATTGATTTAAGCTACAAGTTTTTTTGTACAATGGAGTTAAATCAAATACTGTCAATATGAATCAATGAATGAACAATGAGTCTTTAGTAAATGCTGATTACTAACTGGAAAATGTAACACACCTCTCTCTTTCACCTTAATTAGCCCTTGTTTATTCTGTGTCATTCATTCTTCTAACATAAAACTAGATGGTTGTAGTTACTTATTTATTTGTGAAATGATATATTGAACATCTGTCTCTTGTGAAAGAAACAGATGAAAACTTAATGCTATGAAAACTTTTTTTTTTTTTTTCTGCAGAACCGGGGATTGAACTCAGATCCTTGCCTTTGCCAGTCAAGCACTTATCCTACTGAGCCATCTCCCGGCCCTGCTATGAAAACTTAATAGCAAGTTATATGTCCAACATCCAGCACAATGTCTAATTTTTATTTGTTCAATGAATGAATAAAGAAGTCATAATGTTCCTGAGATAATAAATTGGAAGATTGATTGATAGGCATTAGGATTCTCTTGTATTTCTTGAAAGTATCTAAAAGCTTTTTATTTTTTTTTTCTCATATACATTTCTCTGGGGAGAGGGCCCAGTATCTTATTTCAAATGAGTCTATGACTATCTATTTCAGCCATAACACAAAGAAAATTCAATGGCAAAGGACTTACTTGAAACACAGCACGCTACCTTGTATGTTTATGTACAGATATATGGATTGTGTAAAGGTCTATAATTTCCAAAAGCAGAGACAGAAATTTCTCAATGAATTTGTAGAACCTGACAGCTTCCTACTGCTCCTGAAGAACTGATCATTCCTGTGATCACTGGGATCCAGCATTAGCTGCTTGTGTTCACCTGTTTCTTGGCAGCAACATTCATCAGACAGGCCAAGGGGGGGAAAAACCCAAAAACTGTAATTCCCTTCTTTCACTTGTTTCGGATGTTGCCATCCTTTTATGTAGGAAGTTCCTTTTAATAACAAACTTCCCAGTTAACAAAAGCAATTTGATCAAACAACCCTGGGATGTGTCTTCCCTCATTCTGTACCCTGAGAACAGATCCAGACTAATCAGGCTAAAGAGTCCTCCAGGTACTGGCACATTCAAGGTGGAGGGAGGCTCAGGATAAGCTTACACAAGCTAAAAGGTCCTTAGGTATTAAATCTTTTCTCTTGATCTTAGTTCCAAAAATATTTTCCTCCAACAAATTTCTTCCCTCATTTCTAAGGGAAGACCTCAACGGTAAATAAGCCACAACAAAGTTTTGAGATAGCATTAATTTTCAGTTACTCATACTACCAGAGGAAAGCAAGAATGCAGATAATTCAAAGCCAAAGGCTCTGTCCATTTAGCTTAGTAGTGCATTGTTTCAAGGGGCTTTCTAGCAGACTTACCTCTCTACTTACATTTGTCTTTGCTGCTTATTAAAATGAATTTGCCTTAGGACCATGTTGGATGGGTGACCTGAAGACGCACAGAATTTGTGTGACTCATCAGAGGAAATGCACAAGGCATACAGATAATTGAACTCCATTAGATTTAAGTTCACATTCTTTATCACCTGTGATCAATTGTTTTGCTCCTCTGTGACAAAAATGAGCCAGAGATGATACACAATTATAGAACACTAGTTTGGAGAGTATGAGTCTTTACGTTTAGATGAAGATTCAAGACTGAGCGGTAGCCAAAGCTAGTAACACAATCAATGTGGGTACTTTCCCTGCCTGGCTTCCCAACCATCTTTTCTGTAGCCAGATTGATCTTACTGGGAAAAATCTCATGATATTCATCTTTTCCTAACATGCTCTAGCTCTCTGTGTTAGTTATTAAGACTGTCCAAAACTTTTCTTCTCTCTCCTCATCAACACACTTCCAGTCATTTGGCGTTAGATGTGGTAGTGTGATTGGCTTTGGTCAATGAAATGTACAGGAAACTTGGCCAGTGAAATGACAGTGTCATTTCTAGGTGGAAGGTTTCAAAGCTAACATGTGCTTGGCTCCATTGTCTATCTGGGAAATCAATTGGCAGGATCTAAAATAATGGTTATTCCATCAACCCTGGTCCCTGGTGACTATAATGCCCTGAGTGATGAGTGTGTGCCAGGAACAATAAACCAACCTTCTTGATTATAACTGCTGAGATTTAAGGTCCTCAGCTTACCTCTCAGCTCTTAGCATAGGTTCTCTGTCATTGCACTATCAAGGCACATCATGATTTTTCTCTCTTCAACTTAGACACTAAGCAACTTTAGGCTGCATCATTTCTTCTTTAGTGTTTTAGGTTGAGTACATATTTAAAGCAAGTGGGTAGAAATTAAAATTATCTTCCTTTCTTATCTCTGCAATCCTCTGGCTTTGTGTTTTTCTAATACTTGCCCTATTCCCAGCATCACTACTTCAATGACAAGATGTCTTTTATTTTTCAGATCTATGGGAATGATGGAGCTATTCCTCTGGACCAATAGTGTACAAGAAGGAAAAGCAGAGGGGAACAGAGAGGTATATCAAAACACACTTAGGGTATAATCATTTGGGATTCAATGGGTTTAACGAGCAGACAGAATTTCAAAATAAAGCTTAAGGGTAGCCAGGTGGAACAAATAGTAAGCTAAGTATCAGGTTGGGGGGGGGGAGTCACATGTATCATGTGACCTGTATCTCTACATCCTCATCAGGATCATAATACCAGCATGCACTGACAACTTACCATGTGCTAGGCATAGTTCCAAAGCCTTGACTATTGCATAACTCACTCAATCTTCAAAACACCTTATAAGATAGTTATTATTATTTATATTTTATAGATGAAGGAACTGAAGCTCAGAGAGGTTAGTTCCCTCAGGTCACAGAACTGGTAAATGGCCTTCTCTGACTTCAGCATCATCAGCACTTGACTTCAGTTTCCATTTTTGGAGCTCATTAGCTCCCGAGTCGCACACCCCAACCCCATGAGCCATGAGATTCCTTCCCTTCAAATTGCTATCCCAAGACCAACACAGAGCAATTCTACTCCCTTCTCTCCAAAGCAGCCCTTCTAATACTTGGAGGTAGTAATCATGTGTTTCATGGGGTTTCCTCTTCACACTATAAACACCCCAGTTCATTGTACAGTTCCTAGTGTGCCACAGCTTGATGCCCTTCAATTTCCCAGCTTTGTGACTCATATTCTAGAGATCAAAAAAAGTCAGTGGAATGGAACTTCTAGTTCTTCTCTCAGCTAATGCCTCCTACCACACCAAGTACATTCCTTTCACCGTCTAAAGTAGGGTCTATAATTTGCTTCAGGAACAGCAGGATAGTTGTGTGCCCTGTACTCAACCCGCATCTGAAAAATGGACCTCTAAGAGATCTGTGTATTCCAAGCTTCTCATTCTTTTTTCTTTTTTGATGGGAGAAGGGATGAATCCAGGGACCTTGTACTGAGCTATATCTTCAAACCTTTTTGGCTAAGTTGCCTGGCTGTACTCAAACTTGTGATCCTCCTGGAGTGTTGGTATTACAGGCATGTGCTTCCATGCTTACTCAGTCTGCCCCTCCTCATTCTTGGCATACAGGCAGGTTGAGAACAGATCCTTTACTTACCATGGAGTTCATGGCGAAGTGATTGTGCTGTGTCTGGAGGTCTAGGGCATGCTGGTAGCTGACTCCAATCTCGGTGTGGCTCTGGAGAAATAATTCCTTGTTGTGGCTTATCCAGTCAAACATCTAGAAGGAACAAGAAGGAATAATGATCAGAAGAGTCATGGGTCTGACAAAACAAAACATTCAGAACTACTGAAAAAAAATCTCTCTCTGGTACTCAGTGAAAATCTGTCATCATTCTCAGAGCTAGGATAGGTCATGGTCTGATTTCTCAAGAGACCTCTCATTTCTAGCATAAAAAGCTATCAGCAGCTCCTCAGTCCTCCAAAGAGCCAAAGTAAAAAGGAGAAAATGTATGACAGAATTAGGGAGATGAAAGAGGAAGCTGTTTAGTATCTGGAGCTTCTGCCCTTTGTAAAAATCTTTAAATATCCTGAAAAAAACCATCATGCTTGCTTTAGGGACAGGTAGTCAGGGCAAGCAGGAAAGCCTAAGCCATTTTCTACTGCACTTGTATTAGAGAGACTAACTCAAAGGAAGCAACATGAATATCCTTATATGCCCATGCCCAATATGAATACTACCCAACGACACACAGTAGTACACTGACACTATCAACATCTAACTCTATTTCCTTACATTTCCAGGTTCATACTACAACCCACTGGGTACCAGAGGAGGGGGATTTGAATAGAGAGTACTTCTCGGGGCTGGCACACTGAACACTAAGCCATTTCTTTTTCATAACTTTAAAAGTGGTTTTCATTTAGGTATATGCTCCTCCTCTAGGCATCCTCCATACTCCAAGGAGAGCTGACCAGAACCCCAATTCCAGGATGTTCTTAGCTCTTTAGGACATCAGGCCTAAGCCAATCAGTGTATATCATTTACTAACCACTGGGGTGGTTTCAGAAATAAAAATGTGATCTGATTGAGTACAATAAAATGTTAGGGATATTTGTTGGAAACTCTTGGAAAAAGAAAACCTTAGTTCTTTAGATGTGGCTTTTCTCCCTCTAATATTGTCCTATGTATCCCTGTCCTCATACCCCTGTAGTCATTCTGCTGGAAGCCCAGGAATAAAGCCAATGAGAGAGAAAGGGTGGAGCTAAGGCAACTGCAGGGAAACAGGCAGACCCAGCCTACGTCTTGCAGGAGTTCCACCTTGTTTCTGGATTTCTTGAGAATCTCAGTCAAGAAATCTTTTGTATTATTCAAAGCCAGTGTAAGTTGGATTTTGTGTAGCTTTCTGCCCCTGAGCAGTCAAGTGGTACCCTCAGGAAAGGTCTGAAAAATATACCTGGGTAAGAGGACTGCTCTTCTTGGTGCTGGAGCTCCACTGATTGGGAAAAGACAAAGGCTACTGGATGGCTGCAGAGCAGAGTAAGGAGGAGCTGAGCACAAGAACAGCCTCAGAGATGACCAAGATTGTATCAGCTTTCCTGGAAGCAAAATTGTTCCACATCCCATGACTTCCCTTTACACAGAAGAGTAAACTCACTTTTTCAGTTATATCCAATCAACGTTTACAGGACACCTGCTACATGTCAGGTACTGTCCCAGGTGATAAAAGGCAAAAATTATTAAGATGTAGTCCTTGAGAGTAAATGGCTTAAAGGCCAATGGAGGGCACTGGCATGCAGACAGGTGAGATTTCAGTACAACCTGGAATACACACAATTAAATCACAATTTTGAAAAATCTAGAGATACAACAGAGGCAAATAATAGCCTACTGAGGAAGTGACCCTTTAGCTACCCTTTTGGGAGTAGGGAAGGAGAAACAGAGCCAGGTTAAGGCCAGTGGAACTCATGTTCCAGACAAATGAGGTGAGCATAGGACAAATCTGAGAAGCAGCCCATCAGGTGGCAGGCACTGAAAAGCACCTCAGCTATGTTTCTGGAGCTTATCTGTAGTTGGAAAGCAGGTGGGTTGCACTGATCATGAAGGGCCCTGAATGTAGGTTTTGGGAATGTGCACATAGTAGCAAGCTGTTGGTAGAGGGTTCTAAACTGAACAGTGAAGTGTGAAGGAGCCCTTATAGCAATATGGGCAGAAAATGTAGTATGGGCTTTCACAGGTATGGGCTGTTGGAAGCAAAGAGCTGAATCAGCTAGGAAGGTACTACCTACTCCTGATGTGGCTGAGAACCTTCCAGCCCCAACTAGGGAGTGGCAGTGGAGCCTGACAGTGGGCTGATTTGAGGGCTATTAGGGGAAGGATGGAAGACCAACAATGTTAAGGAAGGGGAGAGTAAGAAGAGGTAGGTTCTGACATGCACCCTGCTCCTTGAAATTAAAGGTGCCATCACAGGGACAATCTAGAGACAAGCATAAGAAGATGGGGTAGGATAGGGGAGAAGTAAATAATGGGCTTCATTTCCCAATGGAAACGGGTTCCATTTCCTTTAAAATGTGTTTGAAAGACTTATGAGAGTTTCAAGTAAACATATCCTGTAGGAAGATTTATGTGTCTGGAGATAGAGATAGAGATAGAGACAGAGACAGAGACAGAGACAGAGATAGAGAGAGACAGAGAGAGAGAGAGAGAGAGAGAGAGAGAGAGAGACAGAGACAGCATGAGCTATAACTACTCATATCTAAGTACAAAAGCAAGCACGCATGGTTTGGAGATTATTCTACTAGTTAATTACTCAAGTCATTTTTATCTACCTGCAGTGACAGTAATGAAGGGATAAAGGTATTACTTTCCACCTGCCATTGTCAGAGGATTTGTTTTAGGCTGGGGCTTCTGTAGAAGCTGGGTCAGTATCCATGTGGTAACTAGCATTCTGTCTCCACCAGCCACAGCCAGCCCCTCATCACAATGGTCAGGCTTTTTTCTCTACTTCAATTATTATGAAGGCCAAGGGGGAAAAGAATATAGGTATACCAAGAGTTTAGATGATTCTCATTCTGTAATTTTTTATTTTAAAATTGTGCCTTCTAAACCCATTTTAAAATAATCTGTCATCTCTTTTCCTTACTGACAAAAGAATAAAGTTAATGAAAATCTGAAAAGCCTTAAGTTGTTGGAACTTGTGATGAAAAGTACTCACTCCATATACTTCCTTGAGTTTCTCAGCAGCCCAAAGTGACCTCCTGAATATTTTATGCTAAATGACTAGTTAGATATGCAAATAAACAGTTGAGTAACATGCTAGCACCAGAATGACTAGATTGCTGAGCACCAGCATGACTAGATTGCTGGGCACTGGGTTCCTGGTGGATGGCAGAGCAAGGGACTCTGGACATGGGCCAAGCAGAGTGGAAACCAAAGCAAAGATGAATTAAAAAACGGGTGAGAGTGGAGAATGCTGCAGAGCTATGCATCTCATTGAACCGCTGCCATTCAGCAGTCTGCATCTGCGCCATTCCACGTTATGCTATGTTCTGCATTTGGAGCACAGAAGCTGCTTGCTGGCAGGCAAGACAGTCTGACAAAATTCAGCTTGTTCTGTAGGTAATGCTCCAACAAGAAAAAGCAGAGAGGAAAAGACCTTCGTTGGTAGGTAAGAGGAAAGAAAATCATCATTACAAACTCAGTCTTGGCAACTTAGTGACACAGACACTGTTTCAAGATAAAATATATAGGGGGCCAGGGAGATGGCTCAGTAGAATATGTGCTTCCCTGGCAAGCATGAGAGCCTGAGTTCAATCCCCGGTTAAAAAAAAAAAAAAAAATAAAATATATAGGGCTGGGGAGATGGCTCAGTAGAATAAGCACTTCATTGGCAAGTGCAAGGGCCTGAGTTCAATCCCTTGTTCTGCCAAAAATAAAATAAAATACAAAACACTGAGAATGTAGCTTAGTGTAAAGCCCATAGGTTCAATCCCTAGTACCAAAAAAGTATACTCATTGCTATAACTTACATTTCCAACATTCTGAATGAAAGATTATCAGTGAGAAAACTAGTATTTGACAGCCACAGAAAATCAATAGTTTAATCTCTGACCTATCATTTACTAGGTGCTCTTGAATTCAGAATGTCCACTGGCATTCAGTATCCCACTGCACCCTCAAAATAGCCCCACACAAATGTTAGCATCAGGTTCCCTTCACAGATTAGGAAAAAGGTTCAGAAGAAGGAAGCCAAACCTAGAATTCACTCATTGTTACCCAGGGCTATATTTACTGCCTGCAAAAAGGTAGTGAAATTGGAAAACTGTCTTGCTTTCTACTCTCATGGTTGTCAGACCTCCTCTGCTTGGGGGCCATGAGCCAGGTACCCTCCAAAGGGAACTGGAGTGCTCCAGCTCAGGAAAGATACTGTTCCTCCCTCACGGCCACTTACTCATCAATACCCAGTAGTTGCTACCTCTGCTGCTACCCCATCAGGAAGGAATATGGATGCCTGGGGACAGGTAATTCAAACAGTTCCACTTCTTTCATTCATAAATAATGAATGAATGAATGAGCCAGACAGTGGGCTGTAGGCTATTGGGCTGCTAATGCCCAGAGAGGTGGACCCTTTCTAAGCTCTCTCAAGCTAAGACAGTTTATAAGTTGATCTATCTGAATTTGGCTCTATGGAAGACACCTGAATTATACTGACCCAGAGCCATAAAGAGTAAAGAAAAAAAATTCAGAGTTTTTGACAGCTCTCTCTCTCTCTCTCTCTCTCTCTCTCTCTCTCTCTCTCTCAGCTATAAATGCTAAACTTAAGAAAATGTAATATAATGAAAAAATCCCCTCAAGAGGAAAGTTCATGTCTGAATAATGAAATTGCATTTCTTTGTCTGAAACTAACATAGTTTTGTCTCATTAAGAAGATGGATTTGTGTGCTCCTTGACATTTTTTAAACCAAACTAAGCAACTTCTATGTGCCCCTTAAAATTTAGTAAAAATATACAAATCTGATTCTTACTAAATAATGTTAAAGGAATTTATTTAAAGGAAAATAATCAGAAACCTTTTTCTAGTAAAGATGTGGATAGCAAAGAGGTTATTGTTCCCGCTTTAATCAAGCAAAAACTATTTCATAGAACAAAGATATTAAGTAAAGACCTTGTGCTTATTTCCTTCACTTGCCAAATTTAGTAATAGCATCTGATTAGATTTTAAAATTGCAAACCATTCTACTGTCTATTGTTAGTATTTTCCATTCTCTAATTATAGATTA